ATGGGCTTTGAATGTGCAATTGGGCCTTCAAAGTTCACTTGAGTTCGTCACTTTCCAGGCTAAATCGCAGGGACTTAAGTGCAATTTTTGAAGTTGAAATGTGAAAACAAAATGTAACCGACATCGAGAACTAACTCCTGTCCGAAAATCGGCTCAATCGGATAAACGGTGAATTCGTTATGAATTTTCGAAGTTTCGGCCCAGATGAAACAATATTCAGCATTCAGGATTTTCGGCGTGTCATGCGCTCCGAGCAAAAAACGCAGGCCTTTTGAATACCGTTTGAACTCAATACCTTCTGTGAAAATGTAGCCAACTCAATTTGTAAAATTTTGGCGCTGGAACCAGCTCGATACGATGAAAATCGACCAAGTTATGATTTTCTGAACATGACGCAAATAAACTTCTGTCACAAATTTTCTGTACGAAAATACTTGATAAATCCACATTTTTGAAGACCTTCTGATTAAAATTGGCTTCTAGCCGTGAGAGATGAAAACGTAGATAATGTCAAGACGGAATTTTGGCCACCGGAACGGGTTCAAAACGAGTCACGATCTTCAAGTTATGAATTTTTTAGCGCGTAAAAACTGCACTTTCAGCACACTTTTTCACCATATTTCTTCAAGAAAACTCACACATTCAGATACCTTCTTTAAAGAATTGACTCTTGAGCCGAACCTAAATTTGAGAATACGTTATCAGAGATATCTTGGCGAAAGAACACCTGAATATGACGCGCCGGGTTGGACTTGTGAATTTTTCTTGAAATGTTTTGAGAAATATGGGAGGGCAAATTTTGGGGTACAACACTAGGCTATGCATGACAAGATCTATCTTAAATTAAAATCAACGGTAGCTCACCATGACATGTAAAGATAACATAAACTGAAAATTGACACACTTGCACATGCCACTCCTAGGGTACGCCTCACTTGGTTGCCTCGAACGTGGTCATTAAGTATAGGATGTTTTAGAGGTCGTCCTCCTGTCTAGAGATCATAGTTTCCTCGAAACGGTTGCCTCGGATAAAATGATCTAAGACATTAGGGTTACCGCCAAGGTGTCCTAACGTTGCTTTAGTGACCACACGTCCCGAAATCGAATTGACCCGAAAACTCCGACGATGATGCTACCTACTCCTTCATAGTGGGATAGCATTGTCTAAAGGGACATTTACACAGTTTAATTCCTTTTGAGAAGGTAGAGGTTCTTAGTTACTTGCTCTTTCAAAACAAAACAAATTTTTCACACTTACACTTTTCAAACAAAGTTTTCAACAACACTTAATACACTCTTGAGGACAGAAACAAGAGTTAAATCGAAGTTTTCAAACAAAACTCTTTTCAAAATCCACAAACACAAGAAAAGCAAAACTTTTGAAAACATAGTGAGCAAGTACCTAAGAGCCCGTGGATAACCACAGATAGAAAGGGTGCTAACACCTTCCCTTTCTATAATCTACCTCCCGAACCCGAGAAACATCTCGAAAAGGAATTTTTCTGTGCTTTTGTCCTTTTCTTGTTGGATAAAATAAAAGACGGTGGCGACTCTTACTTACCGCGACATTTTGCGAAAACAAACGCAAACGCGAACCAGCATTCCCAAACAGTCAGTTCTCATTCCCACCGATCACAATTAGGTTATGTAATGATGTTGTGCATCTTTTAATGTTGATTCTGGTGACTTTTCTCATGTTCTGGTTGTTTATGTACTAACATACTAATTTTGCATGATTGACCTAGTATTTGTTTAATATTGATTTATAGGTAATTACTAATGTTGTGCTTCATGCTGGAGCATCGGGCAAGACATATGACCCTTGCATATGTGTAAACAGATTTGAGTGTTAGTAAACTTGTGCTAGTAGAGTTTGCATATCCTATTTATGAACTACTAATTGTTTGTGTTGTGCATGACTAAGTATGTGAAAGATTGCATGCTAACAATTGTTAGTTATTAGGAATGTATGCTACTAATTATGTGTTAACTATGTTCATGCATGACTAATTCTTTAAATGATTGCATGATGGATTGGTTTGTCTGTTTGTTTTGGATCAACTAAATGGATTATGTGTAAGAATCTGGTCTTGATGCTACAGACGTTTACTGCTATTGTGCTTAACTATGATAAATGGAAGAATGTTTTTGTTTCTGATTGAATGCTCTAATGAAGACCAGTGGTTCTACTGGTTATCAATTGTTCCGATTTGAATAAAGCACTATATCTTGAAGAGTTGAACAAATTTCTATATATTGAAGATTTGTTTTGCCACAATTTACCAATGTGGGAGATTGAAGTTCTTTGTGAATTGATCCTTTGGATTGGCCGCATTTTGCAAAACAACAACATGGAGAAGTATTCAAAGTGTTCAAGTTGATCTACTTTTCTTAATATGTATGGAACTGTAGAAGGGACACATGTTGTACATAATGTCACAACATGTGGTACGACATTTGGCCTTTGCTCAACACATCATACTATTGTGTTTGGGAGTATGTTCTACAGAAGATTTGTTAACAATTTTATTGTTATTGATTTAACAATATGATTAGGTAATTTGTTTAACAGTTGGATGAAGATTAATTCATATTTAAATGGAGATTTAAATATCAATTTAAATTAAAACAAATCATACATTGTTTGAGAGATTTAAGGAAATAATAATATCCAACAGATTTTACACCAATTTTGGACGAAATCAAATCAAATATCCATGAATAAAAGCCCATAAGAATTATGCATTGAAGATCTATAAAATTTAGTATTCAAAAGAGTTCTTGTTTTATGTACACCACTATATTTTAGTAACTTGAAATAATAGGTTTATCTAGTTGAGTTGTAAGATTCAACATCACTCATTGTTATGATTGAGGTTAATCATTAGGATTTAGTGATTGAAATTCCAACACTTGGATTAGTTTTTGAGAGAAAGTGAGAGGGGTTCTCATATTTAAGGGGAGACCTAAATAGAAAGTCATTGAGTAGTGTTAACAAAAGGCATAGGACAATATAGGATTTGTTGTTGCTTGTAAGACTAATGTACTAAGCTACTAATAGTGAATTTTCTTTCTTGGGTTGGAAGTCGACCCTCTAGGCATAAGTGCAGGTTGCATTGAATTGGGTTACCAATTACTTGTGTTATTTATTGCTTTTCTTCTCCATTATATTATAAAAGTTTCGATGTCATATTGGTGTAACTTGTTGGACTATTTATTCCAACATCGTGTTCGACATCTGTCCCCTGAGGAATAGGATTTTAAGGAGAAATCAAAAGGACAAAACGCAAGAAATCTTGAAATTTTGAGATTTTGCAATAAATGGAGATGTGATTTTAAGGTTCCTGAGAAAAAAAGATGAATGTTGAAGCAAGATCTTCAAGGAATTATGACGATCTGAGTGGTTTCAAGATTATTGGGCAAGATAATGAACGATTTGTAGTGTTGTTATGGTGAAGTTGAAGCGTAATGAAAAACGGGTTTAGGTTAGAGAGAGATAGATAGAGAGAGAGAGAGAGAGAGAGAGAGAGAGAGAGAGAGAGAGAGAGAGAGAGAGAGAGAGAGAGAGAGAGAGAGAGAGAGAGAGAGAGAGAGAGAGAGAGAGAGAGAGAGAGAGAGAGAGAGAGAGAATGAATAAGTTGGAAAAAAAATTAAGAAGAGCGATTGGAAAAAAAAATTACAATCTTTACTATATTATCAGAAAGAACCACGTGTACACGGAAACAGAAGAGATAAAGTTGAATCTTTATTATCAAGAAATAAAAAAATTTATTAGAGAAAAAAGAAAAGATATCAGAAAATCTCATACTTACTGATAACATGTTGACAAGTGGCAACTGAAAGCATGGAAAGAAGAATACAAAATTATTATGATTTCTTACATTTACAAGATGGGTCATATGAAATTTTATAGGCCTAAGATCAACTCAATACAGCAAAATAAAACTAATTATCTAATTGGACCTAATACAATAATATATAAGATTATACTTTAACAATGGTGTTTTGACGTATACATTTTTGTGTGTTTTATGGTTATGGTGATCATGTTATCATTGATGAGAAAGATAATTAACAGAAAATGTTGTTGTGTTCTTTTTTTCACAAAATCACGTGCCTCACTTTTCATCCGTGTAACTCTTTTTCATTAGGTATATACTCCTTCTATTTTAAAATAATTATTTATTCAAATTAAATAATATAATAATATTGTCATAAAACATTACACTTTTATAAAATTAATAAAAAAATAATTTTATTAATATATTAAAAGTAATGTAGGAATAAAAAATAAATAATACAATTTAAAAAATAGTAATTATTATTAAATTGAAAAATAAAAATAACAGTTATTTAAATAAAACACAATTTATTTATTAAAACGATAATGATTTTTAAAATGGAAAGAGTATATCGCAATAACTAGAGTTTTTTCATCACAAATGAAATCAATATAAATTGAGTGGGAGAGGTGAAGCAAAGTTTGTTCAATTAGAAAAAGACAAAACAATAAAAAAATAAAATAGAAATAATAAAATAAATAAAAATAAAAAATAAAAAAATAAAAAAATAAAAAAATAAAAAACAATGAAAATAAAAATATAAGCGAACTATAATTATTTTCATTACAAAATAGTGATAAAATGAACATTTGTCTCTAAATACTATGGATAGTTTTTATTTTATTTTAAAGACTAAAATTAAAATAAATGATGATTTTTTATTTAAATTTTGATGTTAAACTAAAACATACATTTTTATATATTTTGAATAATAAAATGCAATAAAATAGAAACACACAAAATCTACACATTAGGCTGATATCTTGCCATTGGAGACACAAAAGCAACAAATTATAACACAATTCTTTTTATTCTCAAAAAAAAAAAAAGGGAACAGTTGTAGAATTTAAACATGTTTGAGGCAGCATTGTGAAACAAAACAATAATACATAATAATAAAATTATAACTTATAACATGCCATGAGAAATCTTGAGATATCATGATATCAAGCTATCCATATATTTTGGAAGAACTTCAGCCACAAGAGTTCTGTATACACTTTCTGTAGGATGATAACTGTCCCAAAATACATATTCCTTATTATTATCACAAGCAGGAACCAAAGGGTTACATAATACTGAAACTTCTAGTTTTCCTGTCCCACAACAACCCTTATCTGCAACTTTATACCCTGCATGTCATCAATAATATATTTATTCATTAAATAAATATTTTAAAATCATTTTAACTAAAGTAATTAATTAATGTACTTACCATATTTTTGAGGCTTTATAATGATATCAACTAGGGGGGTGTAAATATCAATATAAATAACCCTACTATTAGGCAAACTAGAATGAAGATAATCCATTTGCTTTGAGAGTTTGGAGTTAAATAACTTGGCTGCTTCATTGTATTCCTCATTTATATTTCTAGATAAACCTCCACTTAAAGTCCTCTGTGATGGTAAGTATCCAATAGGTGCTGCACTGAACACTCCAATTTTTCTTGCTCCAAGATGATATATTTCCTTCAAATATATATATAAAAGTTAGGGTTATAAAAATGAATATTAAATTTTTTTTGTTATTATTGTTTAATATTTTTATAAATAAAAGAAGTACCTTAACGAAGTTTGAGGCTTCATTGACCATAAGATCAGTATAAGCAGGAACATCATAGTGTAGTTGTGGGGTGCGAATAGTAAAATAAGTGTTTGCAAGATCATCACTTCCAGCTACAACAAGGAAAAGTGTGTTGGCTAAGATAAAGTTTTTTCTTTTTTCTCCCACCACATCTTTGAGTTTCACTATGTATTCTTTGAACATTTTTAGTTGATCAGACATTGAAATCACCGACTGATATATAAATAAACATTAGTACAAAATATATATTAAGGTAGTAAATAAAAAAAAAGTTTATGATTATGATAATTATATTATTACCACAATTTTAGATGTTAAAGGATCATAACCAGAAGCACCAGAAGCAAAGGATACACCAGTAGGAAGGTCACTTGGTTTTAGATTTGGATCCAAATAAGCTGGTAAAAGCTCCTTAATGCCTAAATATTCAACTAAGAACAAAAAATAATTTAAATGTCATTAATTTGTATTTTCAGATACATTTGATGATATTTGGTTAGATATATAATGTGACTAATATTTAATGTGTATTGGATAAATTAATTGCAATTCTTCAAATGGAAACCTACTTGAACTCGTGATAATATTTTTTTTTTTATATATTAAAGGCTTTGAAATCTAGATGTTATATCATTTAATAAGAAATATACACCTAAACACATATTTCACGGTTTTGAGAACCATATATGTCATCTCATAGGGCCCTTGCTGCCATGAATGCCTCACCGCCATATGACAATGACAAAAGAAGAAGACACAAATTAGATGAAACCTTATAATGTGATAAAACAAACCCAACTACTTTTGTTTTGATGGAACAAATCACAACTACTTTGTGAAAGCTTAGTCAAAACTTGATTTCATCATTTACTCCCTCCTTCCAAAATTATAACATAACTCATTTTATAAAACTTAATTTTTCAATTCTTTTAATTTCTCTTTTTTATATAATTATGGAAGGGTGGTATTGTTAAATTACATATAATGTTTTCTACACTCTTTCATTTATATTTATATGAAATGTCTAAAACGATTTTCTTATATCTTAAACAATTTAATACTAATGCTACTCTATACTTTTCATTTAACCTAATACATATTTAATGGAATGATTAATTAATTAAATATCAACCAATATAGTTTAGTAAATTTCACTTATGTTCTACTTGAAATCTAGAAAAATAATTGTTTTTAAATAGTTTCCTAAAAAATTAAAAATTCAGTTACTATTGCTAATAATTATGAGGGAGTAAGTATATAACATGATTTTCGAAAACTAAAGATACTGCAAAGTTGATATAGTAATATAGACAAGTTACTCACATCCTACTAAAATGAGTTAACATGTTCTTATCAAACATATAATTTAAGAAAAAAGATTATCATAATATACACAACCTAAAATTTGCATATAAAAAAAAAGAGTTTATATATTATATTATACCTATCAAATCTGAAGGATTTTTGCCATTGCAAAATCGACCAGTTGGAATCCCTCCTTCAAAATCTTGACCATAAGGAGAGAAATTGCACTTGACAATTGTTTTAATATGGTTGTTATTTCCAGTATCCATTATCGAATCTCCAAAAGCTATGAATGCTGGAACTGTAACATTTGGTGCTAGTTTCAGCAATGAATTTGTTCTATTTGATAATACTAACAAAAAAATGAAATGTAATAATGTGAATCTAGTTGATGAATAAGTACTTGGAACCTTCATCATAAACACATACATTTTTGAGAAAGAGATAACTTGTTGATATATTTTGCACATATTCTACGTAAATATATATGTCCACAAAACTCTAGTCATTTATTGCATGAGAATTATTGAATCCAACGTTTTATTTATCTTTATATGACGTGTACAAAAAAAAGTTATTATCTAACAACATATCTAACAACATATGGTAGTTGTATTATTAGATTAGTTTATTAATTTATATAGATGGGGGCTGGCTTTCCTTATCACTAGCTAGTACTAGCTAGTACGTGCTTGATTAAATTTTTTTATTTATATATAAAAACTAATTTTAGGATGCAAGAATTATGTCTCATTACAAAATAAAGAGATTAGAGTCTTCAAAGATTTACATTTTGTTTAGAGGGAAGTCATGGGAGAAGCTTGTCTTCAGTAGTCAATATGTTTTTTTAAGGTAGAATGATGATGGATGGTGTTGTGGTTTTTAATGGAGTGATTTACTAGTCTAAGAAAGTTAGGAATTCTTGTTTTATTTTTAAAGTGGGTTTTGATAATGTTTATGATTAAGTGAGTTACGATTTTCTGATTTATATGTTGTTCAGATATAGGGTTATTGATAAGTTAAAGTTTTAGATTAGGGTTTGTGTTTTTGCTTGGAATCTCATGATGTTGGTTAATGGCTCCCTCATATAAGATATTAGTATTCAAAGGGGACTAAAGTAAGACGTTTTAAGCTTGCTTTCGGTCTCAAGGTAAATTTCTTTAAAATTAGTTTAATATGAGTCAATGTGAATCATGTTTTTTTTATTTGCGATGGTGACTTTCTTTGTTGCAAAATAGAGGCACTTCCTTTCAAGTATCCTAGAGTTCTAGTGGGAATTATTCTCATATTTGAAGTTATTTAGGATCTTCTTGTTAATTTGATTTCTCATAGGCTTGATTCCTAAAAGCTTGTATATGTTAGTTTGGGAGCGCGAGTGGTTCTGCTCAATTACGTGCTTAATATTATCCCTACTTTTTATCTATTTTTTTTTAAAATATCTACTAAAGTTTGAAGAAAAATTGTCAAGATTCCAAGAAGGTTTTTGTGGGGTGGTGTTAAGAGTGATTCTAAAATAACTTGGATTAGTTGGAATGATGTGTGTAAGCTAAGAGAAAATGTGGTCTGGGATTAGGGATCTCCGTCTAGTCAACTTAGCTCTTTTGACTAAATGAAGGTGTCGCCTTATTTCATGTGACTCACGCCTATGGAGATATATTCTTTGTGCCTAATATGGTGTTACTATTGTTTACTCTTCGAGAGGTGGCAGAGAGTTAGGCCTTCAAGACTCGTATTCTTAATGAAAATGATTGTCCTTATTGGGGTTTAAGAAGGAAGATCCATCAGAATGATTTGTGGGTGGTATCTCTAGAAAGGTGGGATCAGGGCTTCAAATATCTTTTTGGCTTGACTATTGGGTTGGTAGTCCACTACAACAAATAACATTTTTCATGACGAGGCTTTCACATCAACCAGAAAAAAATCGAGGTTTTTCACCAACGCGCCCTATATAATTATTTTAAAAAAAACAACTTGAGCTCTCGTTTATCTAAAAAACCACGGTGAAATACCATTTCGGTCAAGCTTCGAATCTCAGCTACGACACTTTATGTTTCTATTTGTAAAAAAGTATAAAATAAACGATCTTACCCCTCAGTTTTTATTTAAAACCGAGGTAAAAAGTAGCGCAGTTCTGAAAATAAATAAAAATTAGTTGTTGGGGATCGAATTCATGACCAATATTACCTTGTAATATTTTTAAATTTTTTTTAATAACCTATTACCTCAGTTTTGCTAAAAATCGATGGGTAAGGTAGAATATTTTATTTTTTAAACTTTTTTTATTTATGACCAATTTGATGAAAAAATTAAGTAACGAATCTTTATCATCCATTTATAAAGTAACAATGGTCAAGACATTGTCAACTCATCAATCCACATGAAACATTAGTGATCCGCGTTAAACTCTCACTAGTCAATCAAAACGTGAATGTCACAATTATTTATCTTGGATGCAAAGTGCTGAAATTTAAACTTAACCTATTGAAAACAATGATAATGAAAGCATGAGTAGGAAAATATTTCAAGGTTAGTTTCTTAATATAATATTTTATCTAGTAATTCCTTGTTAAAATTGTTTAACGTTAATTATAATTGTATCTATTAGAGATAAAAAGATAGTTTTGTTTTTAACTCATTATGGTGTCACTCTTTGATTGAAGAAGTTTGAGACTTATCTCTAAAAGTATCAAGTAAAATATTTAATATTACTGTCACTACTACGGAAAAGGGCTTTTAAAGCGCTTATTTTGGCCTTTAAAAGCGCTTAAAAGCGCTTTAATAGCTGGCGCTGGCGTAGGTAACAAAAGCGCTTCTAAAAGCGCTCTGGTAGACCCCCCCTTTAAGAGCGCTTTCCTGGAAAAAGCGCTCTGGTAGGACCCCCTATAAGAGCGCTTTCCTGGAAAAAGCGCTCTGGTAGACCCCCCTTTAAGAGCGCTTTTCCCAGAAAGCGCTGCCAAAGACCAGTAAAAAAGCATAAAAAATTAAAAAAAAACGCAGCATACAAAAGCGCTTTTGGAAAAGCGCTCTGGTAGGCCCCCCTATGAGAGCGCTTTTTCTGGAAAAAGCGCTCTGATAGGCCCCCCTATAAGAGCGCTTTTCCAAAAGCGCTTTTGTATGCTGCGTTTTTTTTTAATTTTTTATGCTTTTTTACTGGTCTTTGGCAGCGCTTTTACTAAGAAGCGCTTTAGTAGGTGGACCTTTAAGAGCGCTTTTTAAAAGCGCTGTCGTTTCTAAATGAGGTATTTTTATGTGCAGCCTATAATTTAATCCTCCCAGTCGACCTGTAATGTTTTCGACCTGTAATATTTTCGACCTGTAATATATTTTTGACCTGTAATATATTTTCGACGTTATTATTTCAGCCATCAGTAAGACAATATATATACTAATATAATACCATTATAATATCCAAAATTATATATATACATCATTACATCAATAATATTATAGTTCAAATCGACACAAATCCTACATGAAAAATTGCTTAATATAATATTGACACAAATCTTCTTTAATTTCTTCCAACTTAAGCTTCGGGTACCCAGCAGCACGGAATTCGTCAAGGTACTACAAAACAAAAACATAATATAAATGATATATTTATTTAAATGTAATAAATTATATGAAATTATCTTAAGTTATAAATTCATACCGTGAGCGGAATCTCTAATTGATTCGCCTGAAGGATTTCTTTCATGAACCTCAAAACAAAGTATCCGCAATCATGACTGTTTCGCTGTTGCGGACACTACATAATAAAACAAATAAGATTCTATAGTTGTCTTGTTTTACCAAGTAGCATAAATATTATAAGCAAAATTGTGAAAAGTAATGTACCTGCACTTGGATCCAAGTGATGTTGTTTGATTTAGTCCGGGATACCTGTGCGTCCCGTTGACTACGGAACACTTGTATTGATCTAATTATTAAATATATAAAAGCATATGTTTAGATCAATCCCACAAATAAGAAAATATATAAATATACACGAATATATATTTAGAACGATCCCACTTACAAATCAACGATTTCCTTCATAGCCGGATAATTGGTCCATTCACCATTTACCGAATTCAGATAATACACGACTTCTCTTATCGGGTTGATAGCAAGCAGCAACCAGTGTGCTCTATAAATTAAAACAATAGGTTATATGAAAATTTTGCTATACACAAAAGAAACAGAGATTAGATGAACCAAGAATGAGAAACTAACCCTACTGGTCGGGTATTATACGCCCAAAGATGCAGACTTTCTGTATTGCCGGTGGACATGAATCTATCTAATAAGCGTTGTCTAACTGATTCCGGTTCCGAAGCAATTGTCATTCCGCTGCAATGGGCGGAAGACATGAAACGGAATCTGTTAGACAATGCAGTCCCGCGCAACACTCTGTCATACAACAACCTTAAATAAAAACATAATAAACATTAGATTATTTTCATTGAAATGTGTAAATAAATTATATTGTGGGACTAATTAAATAATATATCGGATGAGTGAATATTACCGGATGTATGAGTGCATATTACTGACGCCTAGTTGATCATGCCTAAAAATCTCTTCCAAGTCATCAATTGTAATATGTGACGGGAATTCAATACCGAAGACACTTTCATCCATGTTGATTTCACGTAAACCACCATCCTTCAAATCGGACATATCAACCATTGTTGCGAGTGTCGAACGGTATCGAGGCACAAAAGCACCGCCTCTTTTTGTCGCTTGCTTCGGAGGACCAGTGGGTGGTACGCTACGAACCTGCTGCGTCACTTGTTGTGACTCCCGAGCGGATGCCTAAAAATCATATAAGTTAGGTAAAATATAAAATCATGCAGATTTAGATTCAGACTATATATTAACACTTTAAATGTACCTCTTTTAGTGATGCAACAGACTCCTCCTGTAAAATCCCTTTACCCTTAATTGCGGGTTTTATAGGAGCAGTCTAAAATTAAAATGTAAAAAATAATTAATAAACGGTTTAGAATTGACATTCGAAAACTAAATGATTCATAATCGTTTTCAGTATACCTCATCACTAATGGTAATGAGCTCCGAGGGCCATGCAACAAATGATCCTATTGCATCTCGCAGCAATGTCGTCTCTGAGACCATGTTAGGTACCGGTAGAATCGCATCACGATCTAATACAACATCCACCGATACTTTCAGGTGTCCATCCGGGAGCGGTCTGTGGTGAAGTAAATCTCCCGAAGTGTTGTGCACTTTTCCCTTGCCAACTAGTCGATAATTCGGTGACGATAAGTATAGTTGGCAAGATGAAATGCCCTAAACAAATAGAAAATATAAAGTCATTATCATTAATAAAATAGAACAGTTTGTAAGGAAAAAAACTTATAATTACCTCGGGAAATTTCTTTTGATAGTTGATACTAGCCTTATCACTAGTTTCTCTCACCGATGAAGTGTTGCAATTTTCTCTCATATACATATCTTTATCTCTTTG